TAGACGGGGGTTGACTGTATGCTAACCATAACCATTTCAGGCTGTTCACTGAGCATCCCAAGTACAAGACCAAGTTCTGGAGAATCAGGGATGTTCCCAGTGACAAGCTGAAGGGAAACAAGGCCCTACATTGCCACTCACTCATGTTCACCAGGGCCATTGGGGCCATGGCTGAGAACATTGAGGACAAGGAGATGATTGATGAAGTGCTGCAAAGGCTGGCCTATAGGCATTTGCGTTTGGACATTGACGACAAGGACTTGAAGGTGAAATTATTCATTTGGAAAAACACATCTAGAATATTCAAAAATTAACGGGAAATTGGAACAATACATTGATTGATTTCCTCCTTACATTCAAAGCAAAAGAGCTGCTCAAGGACCTTTAGTTATGTATAAACTTCACAAACAAGAAACTTCTTTTGTATGATAATTGTCATTCATGGATGTCCTACATTAATAAAAAGAACAAAAAGCTATTTTCGAAAAAATCCAACATCAGAGCAACTATTCATCTTTAAAAAAGTTTAATTAGTATTAAAAAAAATTATATCATGCATTTTATTTCATATATATTTATTTCATTTATTTCATGCATATTATTTTTGTAGGTGGCAACTGACATTTTCGTCAAGGAAATGGGTTCGTCGGGTGACAAGGTGTGGCAGGCTGCTTTTGACAAGATGAATCCCAGAATTGGAAAGTACATGAAGGACTTGGAGAAGGCTGGTGTTTCGTAATCTTCTCATTTTCATCTCACGTTATCCAAAAATGAATTGAAATAAAACCCTTGCAATGATGATTTGCATGTCTTATTCAGGCCCGTAAGTGAAAAGATACAATTTTCCTGCGCTGTATCCAGCTGCCACGATGTCTGTGTATCCGTCTCCATCCATATCGAGGACTGCGAATTTTCCTGCAAAAATACGTGCCACATACAGTAAAATCTCATTATAACATAGCTTTCGGGAAGTCTAAAGCTTAGTTATAACCATAATCATGTTGATTATTCATCCAACATCACTGTAACGTCGGAAGTAAATTCTGAGACTTCTCGCCATATTAATCAAATTTTCAATTCACGCAAATTTTCTCTAAAAGATCGAGTACTGTAACTTATCTCGTGACTTGAACACATCCGTTTTCTAAACTCGTTTGGATATTAAAAAAGGTGACCGTAAAAATCACTAGAGAAATTTCCCCCATAATTCAGTTTTTTTTTCAGACCCAACATTTTCAAACGCAAATAAATGCAATGAAAAGAGGCCTTATTCATGACTGCTGTTGTTGAATTGAAAGTTTAAAAAATATTTTGAGCAAAATATCCGTAGATTACCCTTACTATGATTAAAATGTAAAAAATTACAATATGAATCTGATTAAATTTATACGGGAAAGGACAAAAAGTTAAAGAAAATACGAAGATTCCGTCGCCCAAGCAACAATTTTTTCTTCAAAACTTAGAACTAGATCTGTAGTATTCTTCCGTTATATTGAGGAAAAACAAGGTATTATTTGAATCAATGTTTTTCACCTGAAGTTGTAGCTCCGGTATCCACCAGAATATTCTTGGTGTAACTGAAGTCATCCACACCCTCGGAATTCGGAGTTAAAACGTACAACTTGCCATCATCGTCCCCAGACAACAAAATCCATTTCTTCAGTGCCCTAAATTTATAAATAAATCTGCAATCTCTATATTCTACAAATAGTCAACTGATTTCCGATACCTTCCATCGGGACCTCTTTTGTTTGCAATCTCAGCACTTGGATAAAATGCGGAACCACTGGGACCCCAGTAACTAACAGGGTCGTTTTACTTTAAACGACACTTAGGTAGACGACGACACACAGACCGGGTTAGGAGTAAAGAAGTTTTCATTACTAAAATTTTAAATCGTAAAAATGGTCTAGTTTTGATGCTGGTTACTTGTTGCAGAATTAAGTCTTTCCATGCAATGAGAAACAACATTTTTGATGTCACTGCAGTCATTTCGGTTTGACTGAAGGTCACTGAAATGTCCCCAGGCTGAGAAGGCTTAAATTGGCAAAAATCTATGTGCAGAAAATCCCATTGTCTGAAAAAATCCCCATCACGGAATGCATGAAAAAATGCCACCCAAGGAGAAACTTTTTTTTATTTTTGAACTAAAATTTTCTGCAGGATTGTATAAAAATATTGGATTGTTCCCTGACTTAAATTTTTGTTCAAAAATCATGTTTTTAAAATTGTCTGCCCTCATGGGAACAACATTTTGCAAAAGATAGGGCTGAAACTCCGTGTTCCCAATTTCGGTTTTTACACCTTATACCCGAAGTTTAATTTTAACCAAACTCTGACGTGTTTATCGGAGTCGTGAGTCTACGGAGAACGTGGACCTACATAGAAGAAAGCAGCTTAAAATCTGCAACAGTTATACTCACATAAAATCTTGAGGGATCTGGTAAACATAGACAAAACCTTGTTCTCCATCATAAGCTGTTATCAACAAGTCCTCTGATCCGTCCAAATTGAAATCTTCCAAGTAAAGGTCGAATATCTGACCAGGTTGATCAATCACCTGTCTTTGAATCTAGAAAAAAAAATCCGAAATAACTTGAAAAACAAAATTAAATCGCAAATTTAAAAATGTTACGTTATTCGCGCTGCTCCAGTCGTTATTGAGGGCATAAAACACCGTCAGGGTCTCTGCGAAAAATTCGCCGACGATGAAAACGTCGTAAGTTGAATCCCCCGATGTGAGTATTGTGACAGACTTCACCTGTAGACCCGGACGCGACCTTTAGCCTACAAGTCGGGTTAAACAGTGCCTTGGTAGTGGTCCTAAAAGGTCGGTATGTTTGAGACAGCAGCATGGAGGACGTTTTAAACTTTTTTTTAACTATTTTGAATTAGAATCAGACATTTTTTTTATTACACTTGCCGAAAATTCCCACGGAAAATCTCGCAGTTATCGCATCCTGATCTCCATCGTTGTCCATGTCAAGGAATAAGACTCTGTGATAGGAAAAATCTCCTCCCTTTTGAAATAAAAATATATTCGACTCATTTCAGAATATTGTGTAGACTCACAGTGACATGTTAATTCCAGGGTGAGGTTTATGAATTCGTAGTTTTGTGGAATATAGAGCAAAAAATTTAAAGATCGAATATTTCAATCTGGAAAATCATGGGAATTGCCGCAGTGTCAATGAAATTTCAAGTCAGATGAAAATGATTAATTTCCGAATGAGGCGACACCTGCATGACTTCCCAAAAACTTCCGAGGCCAAGAAAATAATTTTCGAGGCGCAGCATTTAATCTCGAGAATCCAAATCCACCCCTTCATTCGCAAATATTTTTGCAGCATCCATGTAATTCTATTTAAAAAATTGTTTCTGATTAAAACTTGCATCGTTTTCCACCATGTTGTAAGGTCCATCAAGGGTTCCATCTGTGTAATAAACATTCAAAGCTCCGTAACCCTTTCCTGGAACCAGGAACCCAGATGTCCAGATGATCCCTGGTCTCCCAACAACGTCAGCTAAAGAAAGCAATGGATATCATACAATGCATTTTATTTTTCTGATTTTGTCAGTAATTCCAAGAAACCTGGCAAAAGGTCTGGGTTGTTGGGCCAGTAATTTTCTGAATCAATTTCCTCCACAGCTGCTGAAAACTGAGCTGCATTACGGAACACTTTCCCAGGTGCTTCCACTTTGTAAACTGGATCAGTCTGCCAAAAAAAATATTCAAGTATGGTACAGGTGAACCTTAATAAGTCAAATATCCTTAAATCAAAGTCCTCCCTAAGCTGAATTTTTTATAAGTCCTAGTCTGAATTCCCTCAAAATCAGTACATTGAAAACCTCCCTAACTTGAAGTCTTTTTTCTTTAAAACCTCTGTAAGTCTAATTTTCTGAGGCCTTCTGGTTATTATTTCCTTGAAATATGAAAGAGAAAATGATTGAAACATTTAATTGGATGCATCTTGAAAGGACGTGAAAGACAAATGTAGCAAATGAACCCCTGCCTCCAAGTTCAGCAAGGTGTAAACTCATAAAGGAGCAAGTTTTGGCCCAGAATATCCTCATTTATGATTTCCCACTCTTTTTTTTTCACTTCTCCTCACAACAAAAGTGTTTGTTTCCTCAACTGGAAATCTCCAAAAATCAAGACCTCTCATGGAGTCAAAACCTCCCCAAGTCAAATTTTTTCCTGGTCCCTAGAAATTTGACTTATAGAGGTTCAACTGAAGAAAGGTGCCAAAACTTTTAGTATGAATGTTGAAGATAGATTTTTTTCAATGATACAATGCACGTGGTACCTTGCAATTTGACGACTCACAATTTGACCATCCCACAATTTGATTGTCAAATTTGCTTGAAGATCAACTTCCAAATTTACCTCTTTTCCAAAATTCAACCAGTTTTGGCCTCTTTTCTAGCTTTTTTTTTTGCTATTTGCCCTTAATTTTTTAGAGTGTGATTTTGACCTTTACAGTTGCAATTTGCCCATTTTGCAATTCAGCCCTAGTTCAGACATGGAGTTTGGTCAAATTGTGGAGCACCACAGGTACCAGTCTTGTACCTTCCCCAGCTGTACACATGCCCTAATCTCACATAAATTAAATTTGGTGAATAATGCATTCAAAAATTCGAGCGACATCTATGCACGCGGAAAATAACTCAAAAATCAGATTTAAGAAAACAGCTTTTAAAACTCACAAAGAAAATTGTTATTGGGTTGAATGTGGAGATGAACAAAGTGTAACGATCTGCATAATCAGCAGCTTCGGGGTTCGTCTGGTAAACCTCCAGAAAAGCAGGGTTTGAAAACTGCACTTCCCCCAATTTCCTCGGAATCGGATCGATTTGCCCAAAGGAAAAATCAGCACCAAGCACGAAGCACAGTGCAAAAATCTTCGAAAACATGATGCTTTTTTTTTTTTTTTGCTTTTGGCGTGTGTCACAGATGATCCGGTTTGTCGAGGCTTACTTGTTCCCTCAATGGAGCACAACAAGTGGCAAAATTCAAGCAAAATATCGAGTTATCTTCCACCTGTTGTCTTTCACGAAATACCTGCCACACTTGATTAGACATCAGAATTGGACTCGTTACGCAATCCGTAGATAAGGAAATTTGCACAAAAGTATAAAAAATTATCTTGCAAAACCCGGACACAAAGCTAATTTTTTCGAAAAAGTTTATGACTATTTTCAAAAACGTCTCCAGAAATTTCCCCGAAAGCAGAAGCTTGGACGTTTTTTGAACTTTCCCTTTTTTTGGTGTAGCCAACATATTTGCGAAAGAATAAATTCGAAAGAAATCTACCAAAATACAATTGGAATAATGGTCGGTTTGGTAGACCAAGAACAAGAGTTTCTGTGTGAACTTGAAAATTTGGGTAATTCTGAATCATTGAAATGCATTATAATCTAGAACCTAACGTACATAGACATTCCTGACTGCAGACCAGCGGATTTCAAGTTATATTTCTTGAATGTTGAGAAAAAAGCACACTGAAAAAAGTCTTGCCACCAGAAAATTTAAGCCATTTTTTGAGATTTTTAAACAGCTGAAACAAAGTACAGTATTAATTAGTTTTTTGTAAAGACAGAGAAGGATTCAAAAATTGAAATTAGCCTAAGACAAGCAAAATAGTTCTCAGGATACTTTAATTTTCCACAACCTGTGTTCTGCAGACTGGCACTATGGTCCAAAAAAGTTTTTTGCCAGTCCTTGAGAACATTTCTTGGGCGTGATAAATTTGTAGAAGGTAGTATAATGAAGCCTGTTATCCTTAATTATCCGAAATTTAAAAAAGGCAGTTAAACTTATTATCTGAGAAAAAAGAGAGTTAGCTTTTCTTTGTATTACACTTCATGCTTCAGACATGTTTTCACCTATCTGAAATATTTTATTTTCAGTTTCAAATCTGAGAAGCTCCTTGAAGCTCAGCTTAAAAAAAAAAGAAATTCCAATATATAGTTATATATTGTTATATTTCTATATTGGTTCTTGACTTGATTTTTGCAATACAAGTTTTATTTTGAGGAATTTCTGGCAGGCATTAAAAAAAATATCCTGCTGGTCTTCAAAAATTGTATGCAACATTGCCAGCCTGCAGAAAATTGTATGGCAATTTCCTGGTCTGCAAAATATTTTATGAAAATTTGCTAGTCTGCAAGAAAAAAAGATTGGTAACACTGCTTTAAACAGTGATTTTGTTCATTTGATTCCCAACAAAAAACTTGGCACTTGTAAAATTTGATACAAGTGTGCAGATCAAAGATCAGACTGTGCTTTCAACAAAATATGTTATATTTTTCACATTATGGCAGGTATAGGTATCATGAAATTATTTTTTGAAAAATTGGATGATTATTATTGCTTCTGATTCCCCAAATATCATTACCATAGTAACCTCCATAATTTATAAGCATTTTAAGAATGGGAAGCATTGATTCTTAAAACAAATTTATCGCATGAATTCAAGTTTTTTTTGTGCAAAAACTGAAAAAATGTAGAACAAATTTTTACACCTCACTCAATGTAGTTTTTATTTAAAAGAAAAAAAAATCTACTGTATGTCCTTTTACAGTGAAATCTGGAATTCGTGATGCATATCCTTCTTTTTTTCCTGCAGTCACATTCTGACGAAGAAAAATGAGTTCGCAAAATAAAGGTAACCATGAATTCGCATTGAATCATTTTTTTTTCAATCTTCCCACGTCACACTTCCATTCATGGCAGAAACGACCTCGTCCGTGTATTTCCACAAGGTCGTGTCCCACAAAAGGTCACCGAAACTGGCTTCATCCATCTCGCACGGGAAATAAAGCACGCCGTAGTCGCTGCGTGACTTCCGACACCTCGACCGGAAGTGGAAGACCTGCAACATCCTTCCGGACACCCAATGCCTGTCACACCGACGTCTCGACACGCCTTCGACACACGAATCGACGTCGTGAACATTGGCAGTGAGGACCTGGGACAAATCGTGGATGCATTTCATGCGATGTGGAAGATATCCGCGTTCGTCAACGTCATTCACTGAGAAAACCCGATTCAGGTAAAACAGGTGCTTCGGGATCCCTGGAAAACCCGTGAGGTTTTGAGTGGATTCCCAGTAAACGAGGGGTTCCTGACTGGAGATCATTTGTTGCTCCAGAAAGCAAATGGTGGAAGAGTGGGCGAAGGTTTTGCGGAGACCGAAAGTCAGGAGTTGGTCCCAGGTCTTCAACTTCCGGGGTTTCACTGCCACAACTTCGTCCACGTCGAGGATACTAGCATACTGGTACCTGTTTGAAAATCCGAAACAAAATTGTAAGACATTCGTGCAATCACTCATGAGTGGTGCATAACAATACAGGATATTTATTTTCTTTTATTGGTTCAAAATTGGCTGAAATGATGAAAAAAACAAACAAATTAAGAAGTCATGTATTCAGTCTTTAAAGAGGCTTTGTAAAACTTGTACAAATCTGGTTTTGGTGAGGCTCTAAGAAAATGAAATTCAGATGTGGCAGCTTAACCTTGTTTGGTTGGCAGCCTCATCAGTGATATTGGGCTCAAATTGTTAGCATGCAAATTTTTTTGTCAATTATAGTGCCCCTCAATTTGAGCCTAATCTGAGGCTAAGTAAGGGTTGAGGCAGTCAAATTGTGAGACTATGTAAAATTCTATGTTTTCTACACGGAATTTGACATTTGAGTGTCTTTCTGGGTCAAATTGCAGGGCAAGAGGTCAAATTGTAAGTTATGTCCCAGCAAAGTCAATTTATGGACTGTCAAATTGCAAGGTACCACCTGCTGCATTTTTGTCTTCAACTACACATAGAATAAAATACTTGAATAAAAATACATTTTTTCATGGCACATTATTTCTAGTCAAGTCCACAAAGTATATTTTGACAAAATCTAACTAAAACAATGCAAGGCTTCCTGGGGAGAAAAAGTGCAATAAAGTCTTGATCAATTCTGAGAGTCACTGAACAAAACAAGTATTACTGTATATGGTGTCAGGTCAAGTATTTCCAAGATAACAGTTTCTATCAAATATTCAAGGAATATTTTTATGTTGGCCTTCCTACAGAAACAAGCATTGAATTTTGCACTCTTGGTTTAAAAGGAAGCACTCCTGTCCACAAATTGATATTTCAAACTTGGGTCTTCATTTTCAAATACTTTTCAAATGAAGATTGAAAACATACTCACTTGTCAATTGAATCAAGCAAACATGCTTGCAAGTCAATGCGTTCTACGCCAATTTGAATTTGGTACACAAAAGAGGCAAATTCAGTTGCAGGGATGCTCAATCTTTGAATCCCAGTGGGATAAGAAAACCTTCCTGGCCAATTGGATTGTTTCACTTCAAGGAATCCCTTCTTTTCATAGTTCCTTCACACAAAAAAGATCACAGTGAAACCTTTTTTTTCTTGGTCCAGACAGTGTCTTTATATGGACAATGCAAAATATTCAATTATAACAAACCATATTTTCAAAACTGAAAATACAGTGTAACAAATTTTCACGCTAACTATTTATGCTTGGGCCTTGGACATTTTTTTAAAATATGGGAAAACCAACTGATGCCTAATATTGCAACCCTAAAAAAACATAAGTACAGTACTATTATTTTTGTGCAGAAAATTTAGCATTCCTGGAATTTCAATAATCCAATCAAAATTGATTTAGGTTTATTGTGGCATTTATATATTTTCTAATTTTTAGCGGAAAATAATGTTCAGGAGCCTCCATTTCAGGGAACATTCATTTCTCGAAATGAATTAATTCTTTTTTTTACAGATTTTTTATTTTTTTTTTAACTTGAGCTCCAGTAAGATTGGTTTATTTCTTTAAAAGTTGAAGATAGGGAATTGTGATTTGTGCAGTACTTTGAATCTTGAATTTTCTGCTGTATTTTATCAAAAGAAGTTCTAAATTTAGAGAATTCTTCATAAATCTGTTGTTGAATCACACTACTTTAGAGCATATAATACATGTTTCCCAGGAAGTTCCATTCCTACATGTTCAATGCTTTTTTTTTTAATTGGCGTGAACAAAAGTATACAGTGCCATCATGTGAAGTTGCAAATTTAACTAGCTCTGCAAGTAACAAAAACTTGATGAAAAATCCTCCATTGCTTGGACTTGATGCCAAGCACAATTGACGGTCCCAGAAAGGTCATAAACAATTTGTGTATTTGGAGGCTGAAACAATATGCTTATTCGTTTTTAAACCCTTTTTTAATTTTAAAAGAAACATTCTGCATTGTGTAGAAAATATGTAAAATATTAAATTTGAGTTCCTTATAAGTGTCTGTCCAGTTTGAACTTCAGTTGAATGTTTTTCCTGAAAAATTATGCAGATTAATTTCTAAAATTCCATGCACAAAGATTTAGTTTTGCAAAATTACAGACACAAGCTGAACTAAAGCAGTAAAAATGCAGTAAAAAGATTTTCAGATGAAAGAAAGCTGTTTATGAAAAGCTCTGAATTCCTTCAACTTCATGAAAGGCACTCATATGTTTTCAACCATCTCATAAATACACCAAGGGCATAATTCATAGTAATTCTTTTGGGATTTTTTCTTCATTGTGGCCCGGATAATGCTCTACTGTTTCAATTGTTTGTAGTTTGGCACGACTGGTTTGGATACTCACTGGAAAAGCTTGGTGACATTTGGATGTTGAAATTCGCCTGTGACTGGGAACACAAGTTTTGTTATTCCAAAAGCCCGCTGGATTTCAAACCACTCCTTCAACTGTAACGAATCGTCGCGAAATGGCGCAAAAAAGTTTTCTGCGCAAAGCACAAAACCGTGGCGTGGTTCAATCCTCGGTTGCTCGATTTTCAGCACATTTGTCACAGAAGTTACGTCCTCTTCACACACCAGAGAAACTGCTACTGTTTTCTTGATAATTCTTTAAAATAAAATGTTTTCGAATCAATATTCTTTAAATACAGTGAGACCCCCACATGCAGACACCTTGACATGGGGACAATTCAACATAGGGACATTCATTTTTCAATAAAAAAAATCATAAGCTAGGCCCAACATAGAGACACTTCCTCAACATGAGGACATTGAATGATAAAATTGCCAATAAATTTCAGGAAAACTGACTTGTATTAGGCTTAATTGCAAGAAACAGATATTTTCAGCCCTAAGATCAATGTAAGAAAAATTCTTTGGTACTTTTCCCATCACTTTCCCATCCATTCACCTAATTCAAAAAAATTACCTGTGGCACAGAGGGACTTCCTTCTGTTTTTGTGACTGGGATGTCATTTTTACAGATGCCAACATTTCAATGAACTGTACAGTGGTATACTATTCAATGCTCCAAATGTTCTTATTGGGTTGAAAAGATATTCACTGAATCAAATTCAAGTGACCAAAAAATGTTCATGGAAATCTAAAGAATATTACTTCCATATAACACCAATCAAAATTTACCATATTTACTTGAGTACCACGCACACCTTTTTTCTCAAATTTCAGAAGAAAAAAAGAGATGCATGTCATGAGCAGGTACACATTTTTCAAGAAGTTTTAGGAAGTTATGTGTGCATTATACTTAGTTATAATGGAGAAATTTGGAAGAAAATGTAACAAGAAAACTGTTTTGTACTGAAAAAGTTGAAAATTGATCAGTTTTTTGTTCAATCTGTGTCTAAAGTCAATTTTTGGTTTTTATTTTCAAAATTGTGTGGCTTTAGATTCACTAAGAATTGGGGTGCGCATCTTACTTGGGGATACGATTTTAGCCAAATTTCTGACTGAAGAACCCCTGTGCACGCCTTACTCAAGGGCGCCTGGTACTTGAGTAAATACATTATATAAGGCAAGTCTATGGGAAAACCAGACTTGACTTAGGGACAATTCAACTTAGGGACACTCTTGATGCACCAATTATGTCTGCATCTGGGGGTCTCACTGTAAATTGCAAGGATAAGATTCTCACCCTGGTTCTCTAGCAGGGAAATTGAAAACATAAACGCTGTTGGTCAAGTGAGTGACGTGGTCCGTTGCAATTGTTGTTTCAAGGGCACTTTTGTGAATCATTTCCCGATTTTCGTCCCAGAAAATTAATCCCAGGCGAAACATGGAACTGTCTTTCAACATTAATTTGCCCTTGAAAATTCTCGTGCGATTTAAATGTGCGATGAAAAATTCTTCTTTGGCGACAAGGTAAGTTATGCACCGTACGAAAGGTCCTTTCGATCCTCTGGAATCTGCGGCGCATGATTTGATGTCCATTGTGCCAAAAAATGCTTCTAAAACCTAAAAAAAATTTACAATTGTAAATACTCTCGATAAAAATGTGTTTCGCAATCGTCATTGAACGTTTTATTTGACACAATCCCAAAACGATCCATTAAAATTGTTATCTTGTCCACTAGAGAAATGTCAAAATTCAAAAAGAAATTTGATTTTATACTGAAATTAAACAAATTACACAAAAAAATGTGAGATTTTATCCGTGAGAAAGTTTGAACATTCTCATTTGGAAATGATCAGCACACTGACAACAGCACACTGACAACAATTCTAAGCTGCTGTGATTGAGACTGATTTGCTGTGCCAAAATGAACATCAAAATCTTTAAAAAAAAATGTTTATGCTGCAGTGCATCGATTGAAAGATGCAAATTCTCTTACTTGGTATTGACGAGAAGTGAAGTGCAGGTTGTACAAGTCTGGGAAACATGGTTTGTCTGGCAAACACTCAGAAGGCGTTGCAATTTCATCCAAAAGAAGATTTACGGGCACATTATCCAGGGAATTCTCCAAATTCTTCAAATAATTATCCTTTGCTCTTTTCTGATGAGAGATAAAATGATCAGAACTTAATTGAAACACGAATTCATAGGAATTAAAATCAACTTACGGACTGAGTCGATGAAAGCAGAAGAACTGTGAAAACGACGAGAGATAGAAGAAGCATCTTCAGAGATGGAATTATTTTTTGCAAATTTTCGACTTTGTAAAATCTTGATCCATTCCGACGGGAGAATGTAGATCCAGTGCGTGGATATCCGAGATTTTAGCAATTCATGTTACTGACCGAACTTTGCGAGTCAGGTCTTGAAAAAGACAGTCAGCTTTTCATGACGAAGCAGATTAGATTAAACATATTTTTTCTTCAGTTGAAATTATTTCGAGCCTTTCAGGGAAATTTTCGATCACAGCCTGCGTCTTGATGATCAACGAATTCACCCGCCGATTTCCGAGGGTTTCTCAGGATGATTCTAAAACTGAAAAATACCAATATCTGATCGTAGAACTGTATTAATTCTGATAAAGAATTTCGCAATCCTCAAATTTATTTCTAAAATACATGCCATGATTCAACAAAAAAACAACCTTGGAAGCATTGTTCCATGTAACCCTCCAGGGATTTGTGGCGAACAGAATTTGCTGAATCCCATCATGGCATACATAACCTGGTTTTCTTGTAACCAAAGTCCAATTTGTTTTCATAAGAATTTCAAGTTAATAAAAGACTTCACTCCAGGAAGAACGTTTTTTTTTTTAATTTGCTCACATACAGTACAGTACATAAAGTAATTCTCTGGCCAATTTCAGTGAGACACCAGTTGCTTGGTTAGCTTCAGTAAATGTAGCTAAGTTAATTCATATTCTAAGTTCTTTATAGGTTCAGGGATAAATCAGATTAGACTCAAAGGCTGATTTAAGACGTAAGGTTTTAATTTCGAATCTTCTCAAAGGCAAAATTACATTCAATTCCAAAATACAAGAGAGGCATCAGTTTCAGCGCCTATTGATGAATAAAAAAAAAGAAGTTAAACTTGAATTATTCCAATGGAAATTATTGAATGCAAAAGTGAATGGATTGGAGCCTGTTGCTACCTCACTGACTCTGCGAAGAACTTTTTTTATGATGCTACCTAGATCATAGATGTCGCTCAAATGAACGATTTACATTTCCTCATGCTGGCCATTAAATAAGGCCATAACATTATTTAGCGCTGATTCTGCTGGTAAATGATTGATTTATGCTCGATTGGATTTGTGCTCATTCTTCGTTTCCTGCATTTCTTTTTATTTTTTAAAATCATGATCTTAATTTGCATATATCATTTGTCAGTTCAGTCAGAAGATCTCTTTAAATCAAAATCAGAGGGACCCATCAACAATTTTTGATTTGGGGGAGCAGTCCAGTTCAGCAGCAAACCCATCATTTTTCTGAAAAAAAAATGAATTGCAGGAAGGTAAAATTAATGGTGTGCAGATTGCTCTGTGACAAAAAATTAAAAATTATTAGGTTTGAGATTGCTATTTCCACTGAGTCTTTCCAAATGATTCAGTAAACAATTCAAAGCTGTGCTGAATGCCATTTGAGGCTGTTTTCAGACATTTTTTGTGAATTCTTTCACTGGCTGAAAAACCAAAATTGTTTCAATTTAAACTCTTCAATTTTGTTTTTCTATCAAAAAATATTTACCCTCTCCAAAGGATGCGCTGGTCATATTTGTGAAATTTTGAATGAAGGCATCTACATCTTTGTTGATTTCATAAAAAAATATTGGAGGCAATTCCGCCTCTGCAATCCTTTGATCTCCCTCTTGTCTCTAGAAACAAACAGAAAAAGCAACAACAGCACTCTTTAAATTTACTCTTGCTTTTTTTCTTTTGGTTTCTGAAAAAAATTCTTTATTTCTCTTAAATACAAAATACTCTGAGGTCCACTCACCTTCAAATAGATTTGTCTTGCCACCCAGGCAAAAACACCAGGATCAAGATGACCCCAGATCCCCAGCAGGCTACTATCAAAAACATTATGGCCATCTTGCCATTGATGTTAGCTTCCAACTGCTCATCCTTTACTCAAATGGTCACTTCAGGGACCAAGGAGGGCATGGCTGCAAGGATCTCCTCATCCTTAGCAGCCAAGGAATGACTGATCACAGCTTCTGTTGTGATTGTTTTCACCTGCAACACTAGCAATTGACTGACGTCATTGTCAAGCTTGCTGGAAAATACAAAGCAGAAAAGAAAGAACAACCAAAGAGATCAGTAACTATCCTTCTTAAAATTTTCATTTTTGGCTGGCCTGTGAAAGAAAAAACAAGACAATTGGAAAATTTCAACTCACTTGGAGGTGCAGAACTTTTGATGTTATCCTGGCAATAGGACCAAGGGCTGACAATCCCTTCCAGCCCCTCACATCTTCCAAAACATGCCACCAGTCTTAGCAACTGCACCACCTGAGGGGGTCATGGACACAAGTGAAAACAACAACAACTTTTTCATGTGTGAGCTGCCACCTCACCTTTAACCACCTCAAAGTCCCTATAGGAATTTTGGGATCACTCTAGAAGAACTTTTTCCTATCTGTGTTCCAACACAATTTTGGACCATAGATACACAAATAGATATGGAACCCCATACCAAAAAGCCAAGAAAATTTCTGATCTTACACAAAATTTGATACAAATCAATTCCAAACAGCCAGCAATGAAACAATGACAACAGTCCATTCTTTCAAAATTCTTTCTACAGCTAAAAATCACCTAGGCAAAAACCTAGGGTATATTGCCCTTGGAAACAAGAAGGAAGAAACTCTTTTTCCTAGAAATCCCTCCTAATTCAATTTGGTGCCAATGTATACCCAAATATCCAAACAAACTCCAATAAGCATCTCTCTCCATCATTAGGCTGACAATAGTCAAATCTCCACTCTGGAAAAGATTCCAAAGAAAATGCAAAGTCCTCTCCAGGCATCAGCTGAGAACTGGATAGATCTCTTCAGCCTCTGCACTGAAATATCCAACCTAGCTTCAACTTTCCAGAATCTCCTAGAAGACCTGCAAATGCTTTCCCAGTTCCAGTATCCTTCAAGGGTATTTGCTAATTCCCAAGTTTCTAGTGCCCTGAATACAATACTATCTGCCAAAAACTCTTTGTATTCTCCTCTGATGAACAAACAAGAATTGCTCTCTTTGATTCAAACCAATACACTGACTTTTGGTCAATTGGATCAATGTCCATCTGGCTTGACCCTGAACAGTCCCTGCCTATTCAAAATTTCCCTTATTGTCCCTATTTTTAGACAAATGGACAGATATCTGTTCTTCAAGGTTTATTCTTTGCCCATAGCCAGAGATTCCTATCTAGGATCCCCCAAATGGGAAAAAGTACCAATACAATACCCCTAATTGTTATCCCAAGGAGACAATTACTTTGGGATAAAAACAGAATTTCCCATCTGTCCCACCTTCCAATTTTACTAGCTGTTGCATCTGTCATTTCAGATACCCTCTGACAAGAAACACAGACCCCTGTGTACAGGTAATTCAGCAACGAAGAGATGAGGAAGAAATCAAGAGACAGTGTTCTTTATAACCTGCCCCAAACCCTGACAACACTGTGATCCATCATCCAACTGGATACTGATGAATTTGCTTTTATAGACATAGATAAAGGGAGAATTACTCCATATTGTGCAGCCTCAGAACCAAACAAAAGGTCTGCATCTGAAAATACAAAAGAGTTACCCTACTCCAGCATTCTTTATTTCAAACCCCATTGCAGATATACAGCTGTTAACAGTCCTTTTAAGGCAACTGTTCCTCAAGTCAACAATGTTGAAATTAACGTTGTGGATGAGACCCCTCTGATTTAACTCAAAGAAAGCTTTTACTAGAAAATCTCACCTCCTTACAAATTACCTTTCAGAACCATTGGTATATCTATATGATTACCTCCTCTGTTTTGTCTTGTTTAATTTGCATTTGCGTAACTCTTTTTGTTATGCCAAAATTTGTTTTTTACTTCAGAGACAACAAGAAAAAATCACCCAGAACCCAGTACAACAACCATTTTCCCCAGAAGAAGCACCATCTACCCAAAACTAGAGATGGTGATGAACCTTACCACTGGTGTTCTCCCCATTGTTTAGAATTTCTGAACTTCAAAAAATTTTTGTTGATCTTTTGACCCCTGAGAGAATTTTATTGTTCTCAACCATCTTTCCCAATTTATCCCTGTGTTCTCCTATTTGGAAGGTTATTTTTACATATGTGATTCTTTTACTGTTGTTGAAAAGAAAAGAAATTGTACAACCAATAAATTTGATTTCAAAAGAGTTTATTTAGACCCGTACAACAAAGTATCAACCAATCAAGGTGCACAGCAACAGATTTTCAACCAACTATACAAACCAAAAACAAGAGCGCCAAACAAAAAAGCACAACCAATTCATCACAATTTTTTTGTTCTTAATTATTCTCGTGGTTATACATGCTTTTTTTAAAAGAAACAAAAACTTGTTTGTGAAGAGTTACTTTGGGAGTGTCTCGAATTGTCCCCGTCTCATATGGTCCCTGTATATAAATGTCCATGTCTCCAATTTTCCTTGTCCCCAAAAGTTTGTGTCTCAATTTGTCCAGTCTCATATTGCCATTATTAAATTTTTGGCATCTGCTGAAAAAGTGTCCCCTACCTTCTGTTCCACTCAATTTTGATAAGGAACTAACCAGGTACGCCAGTACAAGCAGCATAGTTACAATTTGTATGATTTCCAAATCTTTTAATGTGTTGCTATATACGTAACCTGGGCAAGCCTACTACTTTTTTTCAACCATTTGTTTCCATCAGATGGCATTTTACAACATGGACTTGGGGAAACTATTTTCAAACACTCCTTTCGAAAATTGGACAAGATTTGATGAGGTAATCACTGCAAAAAGTTTCCTGAAGAACTTTGTCAGTGACTTAACCAGATTTGCATATTTGTACAAGTATGGAGGGACTTACACAGATTCTGACATGATTTTCATGAAAAGCACATCGCACTTGCAAAATTCGATCCGTCCAGAGACTCCAGACCTTGTTAGCGCAGCCTTCATGACGTTTAAGAAGAGGCATGCTTTCTTGATGGATCACATGCTGTACTTGACCGATTAGTGAGTCAATACTGAATTCATTCATTCTTTAATCTTTTTTACTTTATTGTTGTGTGGAAGAAAACGACGCCTTTTTTTTAGGTCACATATGAGGTTCTCTTCCCATGTGTTCCACAATTAAATTTTTATGTGGAACGCATTTTTTTTGTCCCCTGAGTTTCCTTGTACATGGTGAGATTCCACCTGTGTATCAACAATTTTTGAAATTCAAAATGAGAATGGCCTTTTTCCTTCTTATACATACGGCGTAGACTGCTCAAATTGAGAAGAAATCACCCTGTCGATTGGCTGCCCAGAACCCGGGAACAGAGGTTGCACCACTGTTTCGGAATTGCAAAAGTGAAAAGCCATGGAATTTCTGATGCTGTCCCACATCTACGTTTGCTTCTCGCCGTTGATTGTGAACAAATCCGAGGCGTTTCTCCAAAAAACGGTATGGAAGTTTTTCAAAGGAAGTACATTCATGCGGCAGTTGGTGAATTGAATCTGAGGGGTTTTCCTTTTGAAACACCAGCCGTGTTTGTAGATCAAGTTGGTCGTTGCCCACGGCCCAATCCCGGCATATTCTTTGGGATTGAATCATCTGCTGCGTTTTCAAAAACCAAGCTTTATGCACACTCGCTCATTCTTTTTCGCGAAAAACATTATCACGCTCAAGTATGGGAAAGTCGGCCTGTTTTAGTCAAGTAAAGCTTATACAGTGGTGCCTCACCTAACAACTGATCAGCATAACAACCACTGAAAACTTAAAAAAAATGACCTGCCTAACGGCCATTTGACAATGGGTGGAACATATTCTGGCCTTCCCTTGAACTAATAAATTCAGAAGAAACAAATTTGTATACTGTTGTTTCATCTTCCTCTCAACAATCATTTTTGTTGAGGGAAAGTGAGAAGAATTGAAGGAAATTGTAATTGGTGATATTCTATAGGCCTACAATTGCTTAATGTACCTTATAAATGCAAAAGTGACATCTATGCAAGTTTACACAGGAGGATTTTCTCCTGCTTCACTCATATAGATGTAGCATATGCATGAAGTAAAATTGGTATTAATTTTGTATGTTATTTTTGAAAGAGAGCAAGGAAATTTAATGAGGAAAAGCATTTGAATTAACTATATCAGTGCTTTTAGGGTTCTGTGATTTGTTACTTGAAAATGTAGGCAAATTTTTAAAATTTTCTGCCTGAATCTTTTTTCTCAGGAGCCACTTAATGGGTTTCACATTAATCCTCAAGGGAAAATGTGACCTGTCCTAGGACTGTTTCACCTAATGACCACTGCACAGGAACAAATTATGGTTGTTGAGGCACCACTGAATAAGTGCTCTGAGTTTTATATCCAACTGCATTTTTGACCACTTCCAGTTCTTTAATTATTTTAAGCTCTCTCATCATCAGTGCTGCAGTCTTCTGAAACTTCATCATCAAGAATTTTTTAAGTTTCCAGGGAAACTTAAATCATCATGGTACTTAAATCATCTCACTATGTACCAGGAAACTCAGGGGACCAGGAAAAAATGCGTTCCACATAAAAATTTGATTGTGGAACACATGGGATGAGAACCTCATGTTACCTCAAAAAAGGCGTCGTTTTCTTCAACACAACAATAAAGTTAAAAAATGAAAGAATGAATGAATTCAGTATTGACTCACTAATCGGTCAAGTACAGCATGTGATCCATCAAGAAAGCATGCCTCTTCTTAAACGTCATGAAGGCTGCGCTAACATCTTACAAATATGCAAATCTGGTTAAGTCACTGACAAAGTTCTTCAGGAAACTTTTTGCAGTGATTAGCTCATCAAATCTTGTCCAGTTTTCGAAAGGAGTGTTTGAAAATAGTTCCCCCAAGTCCATGTAGTAAAATGCCACCTGATGGAAACAAAAAGTTTAAAAAATTAGTAGGCCTGCCCAGGATACGTATATAGCAACACATCAAAGTAAAATATGAAAATCATACAAATTGTAACTATGCTGTTTGTACTAGTGTACCTGATGGTGAGTTCCTTTTCAAAATTGAGTGGAACAGAAGGTTGAGGACACTTTTTCAGCAGATGCCAAAAAATTAATAATGGCAATTTGAGACTGGACAAATTGAGACACAAACTTTTGGGGGCAGGAAGAATTGGAGATGTGGACAGTTATATACAGGGACCATATGAGACAGGGACAATTTGAGACACTCCCAAAGTGACTCTTCACAAACAAGTTTTTATTTCTTTTACATTACATTTTCTGGTTCTCCCAAGATAATTTGTGAATCTTGGAAAATTAAATATTAATTTAAAAAATTAAATATTTGATATATGTTTTATCAGAAATATTCCATTATAATACTGGTGCG